CAGTGGCTTAGAAGGCTGAGGCAGGAGAGTCGCAAGTTCAAAGTCAGCCTCAGCAACTTAACGAGACTCTGCTCTAAATAAAGTATTTAAAAAAAGGGCTGGAGAAGTGGCTCAGTGGTTAAGTGCCCTGGGTTCAATCCCCCATACCAAACCAAACCAAATCAAAACAACAACAAAAAAACACCACCAAGTTATGACCTATGGGAGTGGCAGTATTTGTGCCCGAAGGCAGTTAGACCATATAGGGAAAGTGATCAGTGGCCAAGAAGCCTCAACAACTTTTGCACATTGGAAGTAGGTTGGTTTTCCCCAGTCCTCCCACTGCCAGCTTTTGCTCTCACCCTGTAGACAAACAGCAATGGCATAATCCATGGCCCAGCTGACCAGTGCCATGAGGAGCCCCAGGAGGACCAGGAAGATCCAGTCTTCACCAACCCTGGATACTAGGAACTTGTGGCAGCGTACTGAACAGACTGGGAGCAGGGAAGGTAAGATCAATAGGGAGTCTGGCACCAAAGTACTCCTCTCCTGGTTACTGCTTCTCCCCTTCCTCCACTGGTAGCTCCAATGGCTTCTTCCCCCTTCAGCACATCACAACCCCGCCAGGTCCCCTGCCCCAACCCAGGTCTCACTGCGGCATCTGGCACATCGGCTCTGTCCATATTCCAAGAGCTCTGGGGGAGCCCGAGGAGAAGAGGGCCCCTTCCAGGGCTCAGGGCCTCCCAGGCGAATCCGAGCAGCTTCCTCTTTGGCAAAGGCCCCGAGTTCCTGAGTATACCGGCCATACATCTGGAGCAATGGGGAAGATGGGGCATTAGTGTGCATGGGCTCAGTGGGGATACAGGGAGGGCGCCTGGGGCCTTGACTCCCCTTCTCCCAGCCTCCATATTATATACCCCCCTTGAACCCACAGTTCCCACTCTGGCTTGGCGTGTGGGAACAATGTACATTGCTGAGTGTGGGGGCTGCCCTGGCTACAGTGACAGGGACAGCCAAGGTACAGGGACACAGATCTGGGGGTGGCAGAATAATTGGTCCTCTTCTCACGGGCCAGAGGTGGGAGCACTGAAGAGGAGTGGGAGGGAAGGCTCCAGAAGACGGAAAAGATGGAAAAGCCTAAGGCACAGTCTGAAAGTGGGAGGAAGGAAGGTCAGAGAATAAGGGATGGTCAAGGGCATATGGGCAACAATAAGAGCCTGGCAGAGCTGAGGGCGGCTGAGTAGGGCCTAGAAGCAGGCGCGGCCCCAATCCTTATCACGTTCCTGCTGGGCCTCTGGCCTGTTACCAAATCAGCTGCACACCTCCCACCCACCCTAATCCCCTTGTCCCCATTCTCCACCCCCAACTAGCCAACCCGCCCAGCTGGGAATGGAAAGCTTCTCCAGGAGGGTGGAGAGTGCTTGGTGGCCTCAACCCCACTCTAGAGCTGCCCAGAGTCCAGTAGCAGGTCGGGGACAGCAGAGGCTGCGGATGGCAAAGCTGTGACTGTGGATGCTGGGTGATGGGACGGAAGAGTAGCCGAGCTATGGCTAGACCTGCCAAGCTGGGCGTGTGTTGGGGGGTGGGGAGGAGTAGATTCCGGCTGCCACCCGCAGAGCTTCAGGACACAAAGGGCTCCTGTTGGGGCTGGGGTTGGAGGGGGGAGAGGGAGGGACAGATAGAGACACAGACAGAGAGAGATAGTGAGAAAAGGGAGAAGCTCAGAGAGGAGAACTAGAGAGAGGCCAGAGAAAACACAGGAGAGATGAGGGGGGAAAGAAGCAGGGAGGAGGAAAAGAGGGTAGAATATAGAGATACAGTGTAGGAGCGGGGAGGTGAGAGACAGACAAAAGGGTAGGAAGGACAAGGGGGAGAGGCTGGAGCACAGAATGCCGGGAGAGAGCTTGACCCTGAGAGCTCATTCCTGAGATAGAGCCACAAGGGAAGGAGATGTGGCTGGTGCAACAGAGACACCATTTGGGAGGTCAGGTGCCTGGCTCCATGATCAGTGCCCCCTCTTTGGCCTCTGCAGACTACAGATATCTCTCACCCTGTCCCAAGGGCTTGTTCTGCTCCCTTTGCTCTGCTCCCATACCTACCACCTCCCCTGGTCATCCTGTTTCATCCAGTCTCCCTTTCTCTCTCTCTTTTGTAATTGGGCACCTCCCAGACTCAGTTACAGCCCAGGCCCTCTTCACCTGGAGAGGTTACCTCCCTGCCACCCTCCTGGGCAAATTCCAGCCCAAGCTGATAAAAAGGAGCCATGGGCTATTCCTTTACCTAGGGCTTAGGTCTTCCACTCAAGTGATATAAAAAGGGTCAAATGGCTTCTCAAATACTAAGTAAAGGTTGAATCAGCTGAAAACCCAGGACCCCTCCTCATTAGAAAATGAGGTCAAGGAACACCCAGGGTTGGGTGGGGGCTGTATGGACAGAGGGGTCAGAATGGACAGAGGTCCCAATTCCCACACCCATATCTGTTTCACCCATCCTCCCTAAAGCTCCTATCCTCCAAGGTGGCAGGACATTTCCCCTAGCCAGGATCGACTGAGAGGTTCCTGCCAATGCTGGTTTTGAGCCCACAAAGGCAGAGGTTTGGGTCTGATCACCTGTCTACACACTCTAGATTCTATGCCTAGCAGAATGTCATTCATGTACATTGTAGGGACACAGGGAATGTCTTGGATGGTGGAGACAGAAGGGGTGTGGAGAAAGTTCAAGGGTGTGGATGGTACTGGGGAGGGGTATTAGCGCGCTGAGACTTGGGCTCAAACGGTGAGGAAAGGGGCAAAGAAAACGAGTGTGCTGGAGTGGGGGTAAAGGGAAGCACACCGCAGATAAACACTTGGTGTCATTGTCCTCTGCAGGCCCCCAGGCTCAGCCAGAAGCCAGCAAGCAGCTTTCCAACCTTTTGGCGCTGCAGCCTCTCGGACTCCTCAGCCTCAGTTTCCCCAGCTCAGAGGACTGAGGCGGAGGTTGGGTAGGCCCCCAACCCTTGCGCTCCCTAGGGTAATCTGGAACAGCTGTGCCTAAGTGCAACCCTTCGAGCTCGTCTCGGCTTCACTTACCAGGGTCTGCTCGTACTGCAGCGCTCGCGGCTCCATCCCCTCCTCGGCCGCCGCGGCCGCCACGGCCGCCATCTCCGTGTACTGCCCTCTGGCTTCCCTCTGCCGCTCGGGCTCCGGCCTGGTCTCTGCTCCCAGCCCGCAAAGCCCGAGCAGGCACCCGTCCGGTCCCCGCAGCCCGAGCGGCCGAGTGCAGAGTGTGGCGGGTCCCGGGCGGGCGCCGCAGGCGCAGCCTCCCGCTCTCGTCCCCTCCTCGGCGGGCGGGCCGAGGGCGGTGCCCTCTGCGCCGCTCCGCCCGCCGGCCCATCCGGAGGGGCCGGCCCATCCCGCCTGGGGTCTGCGATGGAGCCGCCTCTCAGGCTCGAAAGAGGCGGCAGGGGGCGCTTTGCGTGAGAGCACGCGCCCCCTCCCTTGGAGGCTGGGGACTGACTGGGGCACCCACGGCTGGGGCGAGGGCGGGTCCACTGGCACGTGGAAGGGATGGGCCTGGTCCACAGCTCTCTGGGCGGGGAAGGAGGACTTGGAGACGTTGGGGTTCAGTAGGGCTTGGGGCTTGGGGCTCCAAAACCGTCTAAATTGGGCTCCTGAGACTCGATCCGTTAGGAGCAGCCCCTTCTCTGCTCCTAGAGAGGAACAGGTGGTTCAGGAGAGTCCGGGTAGTCCCCTCTGCCCCATCCAGGGTGAAAAGCAACTGGGAGCGAGTCAGAGGGGAATTCTAGGCCGCCTTCCTCATTCCCTCCCTTTCTTCTTTCTTTCCTCGGGGCTCCCTCAAGGAGGTGCACCTGGAGCTGCCAGGCCTGCGGGGTGTGCCGGGGTGGAGAGGGTACGGGAAGAAGTGAGGCCTGAGGGAAGGGAGTTGTAGGTGCTGGGGAGGCCACTCCTGGGAGGCGGGTGTGGGGGAGCAGAGGTCGCTTCTCCCTGGCAGGGCCCAACCAGAAACCCGAGTCGCTGCTGACGTCTCGCCGTGTTGGGGGAACGGCCTGCTGGGGCTCCGCATTCTCTATCGGGGTCCTTGGAAGGATAGAACAGGGTGGAGTGAGCACAGGGTGGATAGGCATTGTTAGAGCTAGAGCCACGGGAGAGCGCGGGGCCCCAGAAACAGTTTGTAGGAGGGCGCAGTCCCAGGATGAGGGGCATTTAGGGGACAGCGGCAGTGCTCTAGGGGAGGGGTCGGTGCCCAGTGAAGAGGCAGTATGAGAGAGGAGGCAACCAGGAAGAAGGGGCAGTTTGAGAGAAGACCTCTTCTCTCCAATAGGGGGACAATGCCAAGACTAAGGGGTATGTGTGCAGGAGAAGGCAGTGGTGGGGGAAAGGCAGTACCAAAGTTGAAAGGGCAATGCTTTTGGGGAGCGCAGTGTGAGGGGATTAATGTCAGACCTAAGGGGAGGTGGTGGCAGGAGAGCAGGACCCAGGGAAAGAGGGCAGTGATGGGGAGGGTGCAGACTTTTCTTTTCTTTCTCCATAGTGACATCAAGGCAAATTCCCAAACCGGACGGACCCGGTCGGGTGACGTCCAGCAGGGCCGAGCTGGCCCGGGCCAGCCCCGGGGGCCTTGGTGCCAGCTGGAGGGGCTGGGCACTATGCCCTGCCCGGCCAGCTTTTCTGGGGGCGGGGTTCTGTTCCACCCGCCCCCGGTGCGGACTGTGCCCGGGCGGGCTTGCGGACCAGCAGGGCAGGGTTAGGGCCGGGCTTCTCTGGGCCAAAGATCAAGGTCCTTGCCTGGGTTAGGCCCCCACGCATTCCAGTCTTCGGGTCCCGGACTCTGAAGAGGGCGCAGTAGAGCAGTAGCGGAGCACTAGAACCCGCGCCACCTCCGCGGAGGTGGGACCTATTTGTGTCTCCGCCCTGGGCGTGTCACCTGAACTTAGAGACACGCCCTCAACGTCCAAGCCTCTGACAGCAATCTTTCCGGGCGGAAGTGTAGAAGCCCCGAGAGGGACTCGGCGGAAGTGGCTGCCTTACTGCAAGTCGGTGCGCATGCGTCATTCTGCCCCCGTGGAGCTCTTCAGCCTGAACATTTTTCCTGTCTCCTTTTCTCCACGCGAGGGGGTGCGCGAACCCCCAGTCGTGGCTGCGTGGTCAGCACTTCTTCTGGTTTCTTGGCCCCCTCACGATGGCGGGCATCCTGTTTGAGGATATATTCGATGTGAAAGACATTGACCCGGAGGGTAAAAAGTTTGACCGAGGTAAGTTAAGGTACGCAGGAGCGGTACAAAAAAAGAGGCCTGTCTCATTGCCACGCCCCTGAGCCCCCTCTCCACCCTGCTCACGTGGCCATCCTCTAGCGACGGATTCTGATGAAGCGTTGTCCCTCAGGAAACATTTTATGAATGAGAAACTTGAGACTCTGAGCTTTCCCAGGCTTCACCCACGCAGTCAGTGCCTGCTGCCTGGGTGGCTTTCAGCCATGATGCTGACAAACTCCTGGGCATCTTTATAATCGCGACCTACTCTCTGTGTTAGAGATTATACTGTGCTCCCCTCTCACACACTGTGGCTTGTTCATTCTCAAAAGCCCCCATGAAGTAGGAGGTGTTTTTGCATTTTGTTCTGACAGGTTAAGTAACCCACCCAAGACCACAGAGTGAGTTATTTGACTTCCTAACTTGTATTCTTATATTGGCCCCAGAATCTTTAGCTGTTTGTGAAGTCCTCTCTGAGTTAGAGCTAATTGCTTGGCATACAACTCTTTATTCTGCAATCCATCGACAATTTTTTCTCCTTGGTGATACTTTATTTGCCTACAGACTGAGATGTTTATCAAGTTCTTATACATCCTGTTAATCCTCTCAGCATAATGTATAGCACAGAAAGAGAAAACCTTTGGATAAGTAATAACTTGCCCAGAGTCATGTTCTCAATCATTCAGGGGGCCTAGAGCCTAGATATTTGCTGCCAGAGGATCTTTGATTCTTTCTGGGGTTTCTGTTCTATTGCCATAGTTTTTGCCCTTTTTCTTCTTGCACAGGTTCTGATTGAACCTGCACTTCCTTGAATGCAGTGGAGAGGTTAATGGATGTATACCAGGTTACATTAAAATTCTTTTGCAGTTAACCACCAAACTGGGATCTGTATGTTCTGCCCTGGGCTTGATAAAGTATGCCTGTCACTTACTTTGTTTTTCCCCAGTATCTCGACTGCATTGTGAGAGTGAATCTTTCAAGATGGACCTCATTTTAGATGTAAACATTCAAATTTACCCTGTAGACTTGGGTAAGTATTGAAGACACACAATAGCAAGAGTTTTTTCCCCTTCTTCTTAATTTCATCTATTCTTCATCCTCAGATATTGCATTTATTTCTAGGTGACAAGTTCCGATTGGTTATAGCTAGTACCTTGTATGAAGATGGTACCCTGGATGATGGTGAATACAACCCCACAGATGACAGGCCTTCCAGGTGAGGGAGTAGAGAAGGGAGCACTTTAAATATTGAAATATGCCCTGAGGACTAAGTGGTATAGAACCACCTCTGCAAGTTGGGGTTGAACTGGACCTTGGCCTCATACCTGGTAGGCAAGTACTCTATCACTGAGCTCCATCACTAGCCTTTTTTAGTTTATTTTGAGACAGGATCTTGCTGAGTTGCCCAGGCTGGTTTCAAACTTGCAAACCTTCTGTCTCAGCTCCCCTGAGTAGCTGGGATTACAGGTATGTGCTATTGTGTCTGATTTAGAAAGACCTTTATTTAGTCCCTGGAATAAATGATTGTCAGCAGAATCTGAGTACCCTTAAGGAAAGTGCTACACTTAAGAATTCAAACAACCAGGGCTGGGGTTGTGGCTCAGTGAAGAGCACGTGCAAGGCCCTGGGTTTGATCTTCAGCACCACATAAAAATAAATAAATAAAAATGAAGGTATTGTGTCCAACTGCAACTAAAAACCAAATATTAAAAAAAAAAAAATTCAAACAACTATCTGGGTGTGGTGGCTCACGCCAATAATCTCAGCTGCTCAGGAGGCAGATGCAGGAGAATTGCATGTTCAAAGCCAGTCTCAGCAACTTAGAGAGCCCCTAAATAACTTAGTGGGACCCTGTCTTAAAATAAAAAAGCAAAAAAGCTGGGGGATGTGGCTCAGTGGCTAAGCGCCCCTGGGTTCAATACCTAGTACCAAAAAAAAAAAAAAAAAAAGAATTCAAACAACCAAGTGTTTACTGAGAGCAGTGATACCATGGATATCATGCTTGTGAGGTGTAGCTTTTTGAAGATGGAGGAAATGACCATTGAGTGACCTAGGCTATGTGGGAGGAATTTGGTGTGATAGAGAGGCATTGGAGCACCACTGAGTTTAGTTCTTAGCTTTAGTACTTATTTGTTGAATACCCTAATCTCTTTTATTCTTAGTTTCCTCATCAGTAAAATAGAGATGTCATACTTGGTTCAAAGGATTATGGTGGGGAAGGACTAAATGACATCATATTTCTAAGGTGGCTCTTGTTATAATGCTGGCACTTAATTACCAGTTACCATTTTATTCTTATTTTTAATGTTTTTGTGATGATGTCTCACTATGTTCTCCAGGCTGGCCTCATGCTTCTGAGGTTCAAGTGATCCTCCTGTCTCTGACTCCCAGTTAGCTAGGACTACAGGTGTAGCCATTATACCTGGCTATTAGTTACCATTTTAAAAGGATTTTTTTTTTTTTTTTTGGTACCTGGGATTGAATTCAGGGATGTTTTCCAGTGAGCCACATCCCTGGCCCCTTTTTATGTTTTATTTTGAGACAGGGTCTCGCTAAATTGCTTAGGGCCTCACTAAGTTGTTGTGGCTGTCTTGAGATCCTCCTACCTCAGCCTCCCGAGCCATGGGATTGCAGGTGTGTGCCACTGTGCCCAGCTGAAAAGGATTGTTTGTAATTATTATGAAGAATAACTTTGTCACTATTGTTCTGCAGGGCTGACCAGTTTGAGTATGTAATGTATGGGAAGGTGTACAGGATTGAGGGGGATGAAACGTCTACTGAAGCAGCAACACGCCTGTAAGTTTCACAGTCTGGTGAGAATCCTTTTCCTTCCTCCCTGGCTAAGAAGTTGGGCCATGCTCTTGCTTCCTGTGTTGGGCCCCTCTCCTCAAACGCCTCAAACTTACTTAGAACCTAAGTATAGCTGTTCCTGGTACAGTTTCCAGTCTGAAGTATTGGCTGCCCACTTTGCCCTTTGTCAGGATCTCAAGGCCCAGTGGTTCCAAAACTTAATCCTGCTGTGTGAAGTGCCAAGAAGAGTGGCTTCCCCAGGAACAACATGCAGTATTAAGGATTAAACTGCTAGACTTTTTTGTTGTTGTTTATTTGTGCGTGTGTGCTTTGGTACTTTGTAACCCAATCCCTGATTCTTTGGTTTCCCTGCTTATTTTTTTCTTTAAAATTGTATTAAAACAATATGTGTTCTTTGTAAGCTATTTGAAGCAGAGAAGTAATGTAAAGGGGGAAAAGTTACCTATAATTTTATACCCAGGAGGAACCTTTTACATAAACATTTTTGAATGGTCTTTTTTTTTTTTTAAGTCTATTTTTTTCTTTGAGATCATGTTGTTTATTCTAATGTTTTCTTCTCTTTTTGTTTAACATATGTACACCATGTTTCCCCATGTTAGTGTAAAGCTTTTCCTAAACACTTTCAATGGCTGTATAACATTCTGGTTTCATCTTAATTCATTTGGCCATTCCCCTAATTTTGTGCATGTTGGTGTTTTCCTCCTTTGCTAGTATAAACAACAGTGCTTTGCATGTATCTGTGCATTTTTCTTTGTCTGAATTTTTGGTTCCTTAATGACAGAACACTATTTTTTTTTTTTTTTTTGTATGCTGGGATGGAGCTCAGACTCATGGGATGGGGATCCTTCTATTTCAGCTCTGCCTATGTGTCCTACGGGGGCCTGCTCATGAGGCTGCAGGGTGACGCCAACAACCTGCATGGATTTGAGGTGGATTCCAGAGTTTATCTGCTGATGAAGAAATTGGCCTTCTGAACCTCAAAGGATGCCAGCCTGCTCTTGGTCACTCAGGTTGTGGACATTGTTCAAACCTGAGTAGAAGTTGTTGTTGTTCACCTGTTAAGGAGGAACTGGTTTTCTGCCCACTGTTGGTGCATCTTTAGCTAGTCTGAACTCAATGGGAAACTGGCTTGCCTGTGAAAGACCCAATGGGAAAGCTTGAAGTGAATCAGGAGTTATTTTGTGTATATATGACTTTTTAATTAAACTTTACTTTTTAAGACTCTCCTCCCCCTTCTTTAACACATTTTCATTTAAAAAAAATTGTTTTTCTTTTAGTTGTAGATGAACAAATACCTTTATTTTGTTCATTTATTTTTATGTGGTGCTGAGGATTGAACCCAGTGCTTCACACATGTCAGGCAAGTGCTCAACTGTTGGGCCACAACCCCAGCCCCATTTCCATTTTCTTTAAAATTGTTTTTTCCAATTTGTCTGTAGTATATTTCTGTCCCACAGCCAGATGACCATGTATCAACCTAGGGCTGTCCCAATCTCAGCCTTTTGGTTTTTGGGTTTAGGGTCATCTCCGTCTCCTGGCTGACTGACTATTCTAGCATATATCCTCTGGTGTGATTTTCTATCTGGAGGGAGGGTTGTGCTTTGGCTCCTGAGAGTAATATCCCATGCCCGGAAGATACCACCCATTTGGCATAGAATTTTGAATTGGCAAGGTGCCATGCTCATGTCCTTCCAACACTCAGTCTCCAGGAAGTCAGTTCACATTAATTTGAATGAGTTACTTGCATAGCCTGGAAAAGTTCTTTTTTTTAATGGAAGCTTTGGGTGGAGACTTTTTGACATGGATTTGGGGTGTGACTAATGAGAGGAGGAAGAGAGGACTTGGCTATAGAAGCAGGTGGACTTGGTTCTCTGCTCCATGTTCCAGTGGTGACCCAGGAGGGAGGGTAAGTGGTAATGGTTCTTATGAGTGACACTGAACAGGGAGCTGCTACACAGACCAGTGCAGTGGACAGGACAGTAACACCAAGAGGTTGGCAGTTCAGTGCCCAGGACAACACAGCAGCCTGACTGCACTCACTAACTTATAAGTGGAAGAAGAAAAAAGTTAAGGAAATGGTGGTGATGACAAGGGCTCCAGCCTGTGAACTGGCTCTACAACCAGGCATTAGAGGACCTGAGAAAGCATATGGGACTCTTTTCCCCTGGGAAATTCAGGGTAATAATTCAGAAAGATTGGGTATTAAGCAATTGTCTTTTGATATCCTGGTTTTGCCATAGGAGCCGGTCCCCTGCTGGTATGCCTGGGGTGTTTGCTTTCCCATCATTTTCAGGTCTCTACATGAGGCATTAGAAATAGTATTTAGGGAAATGGGTTGAAGTGAATGACCTCAGCAGTGAGGAGAGAAGGTGTTTTTTGTTGTTATTTTACCATTGGTGGTATGGGGAAGGAAGTAGCAGATGCCTTAGGGGTTGGGGTGTATTTTTATGGAATCTTAGAACCTTTCCATGGGGTCAGATTCTCTTGAAGGGTTGGAAAAGGATGGATTTAGGTTAGAGAGGGAGAACCTAACTGCTGGGAATCATAGGATATATACTGTCCTGGGGTAGCAAAAGAAAGAGAACTAGTGTAAAGTAAAACGGGGATAAGAGCATTATGGTTTTAAAGTGTGTGTGTGTGTGTGTGAGAGAGAGAGAGACGGAGACAGACAGAGAGAAGAAGGGATGGAATCAGCCAGAAGGAGTGATTTGGAAGTCTTTTCTTTTGGTTCTGGGGGTTGACTTCAGGGGCTTCATATATGCCAAGCATGTATGAAGTGCTACACCTGCTGCTCCACGTTAGATTAGTTACCTTTTATGGTGCTGAGATTAAATCCAGGATGTCACACATGCTAGACAATCTAGGATAGATTTATTTTTATTTTTATTTTTTTTTGTACTGGAGATTGAACCTGGGTGTGCTTAACCACTGAGCCACATCAATAGCCTTTTTTTACATTTTATTTTGAGACAGGGTCTATGTTAAGTTGCTTAGGGCCTCACTAAGTTGCTGAGGCTGGCTTTGAACTTGCTATGTGCCTGCCTCAGCCTTCCCAGCTGCTGGGATTATAGGTGTATACCACTGTGCCTGGCTAGGATAGATTCTTAATAGGTGCAAATTCATTCACACTGGAGAAAACTATGAGCTTTCTTTTTTGCCTGCACTAGAGTAAGTCAAACGGGAATATTAGATGCCTGGAACTTTCTGGCTATATTTACATTTTTGCCATCCTTTTCTCTCCTATGAGTGGGCTGAGAATCCATAATTCTTTGGTCCCTTTGGCATATCTTATCCTGGGTTCTGGCTTTTTCAAATGCCATAAAGTTTCATTTGATCATTATATATATTTTTGATCATTAAATTTAACATGCTTTGTTTTGATATTTAAGTAAATTATAATTTCCACTAACCATTTCATTAACTGCACCCTGAAAATTTGTAGTATGGTTGAACTAATTCTTTCTCATGCAGAACTGATGGCACCTGAGATTTGGACAATATATTTGAGCTGTGTGCACTTTTTGTTTTTTGCTGTGCTGGAGATGGAACTCAGGGCCTTGACCATGCTAGGCAAACACATTACTACTAAGCAGCATCCCAGCTTTGTGCATTTGTTAATTCCTTCTCCATGTTAACTCTTCTGCCCAGGAAAGAAAGATACTTGGAGATCTAAACTGGTCACCCCCGCAAGAGCTTAGGTTTTCCACTTAGATTTATTAATAAGAGCTGAGGATGTAGCTAGGATATAATTCTCAGTGACTTAGGAAGCTGAGGCAGGATATCACTAATTCAAGGCCAGCCTCAGCAACTTATTGAGACCCTGTCTCAAAAAGAAAAGGACTGGGGATGTAGCTCAGTGGTAAAGTACCTCATTAATAGCTGATGTATTTACTCCATAAGGACTTGGAAATCTTTCCCAGTAAATAGAACTACTGAATGATTATATTGGACAGCGCACCATACTGAGGAGACTCTGGGATTTAGAGTCAATCAGACTAGGGCTGTTTCTATTCCTGCTAACAGTCTCTGTGACCATTGGTAATTTACCTGGCTTCTCTGAGCCTTAGTTTCCTCATCTTTAAAATGTAGGTGGTAATATACATTTTACTGAATTGTATGAGCATTAAAAAAGGGAATATAAGATGGGTGTGGTACTCTATGCCTATAATCCCAGGGACTCCTGAGGTTGAGGGAGGAGGATCTCAAGTTCAAGGTCAGCCTCAGCAATTAATCAAACGCTGTCTTTAAAGGAAAAAAAAAAAAAAAAGAAAAGAAAAGAAAGAAAAAGGAACATATATATGATTCCTGACTTTCACCCTAGTGTTTTGGAATGCCTTTGGGGATTCTCAGGTATCTGTGACAGTGTTTGGAATCCTGAGTTCCTGGTAGACTTTCCTTTTCTTTGAGGTGGGAGAGAGGGAAAAGTTCCTACTAGTTTTCCTACAGGAACCTCAGAATGTAGTAAGTTGATCTTTGTACACAAGGTAAACCTCCCCTTCCTGAGCACCAAGACAGCAAGACTTATTTGCAAAGCCTCTGAAGTCTACCCACCCCCCACCTTTCCCTGTGGTACAGGAGATTGAACCAGGAGAATTCTACCACTGAGCCACATCCCCTGCCCTTTTTTGGGGTGTTGGGGGAAGCAGGGACAGGTTCTTGCTAAATTGTTGAGGCTGACTTTGAACTGTGATCCTCCTGCTTTGGCCTCCTGAGTAATTTGATTACAGGTGTGTGCTACCTGTGCCCTGCAACCCCACCTTCTTTTTAGGGATCCCATAGTTGGGTTTATGGTAATCACACTGGGCTGCTCTTTAGATGCACTTGTAGGGTTTGAGAAGGGAGCCTTCAACTTGTTCTTGTTTGTCCTGCTCTTCCAGCTTAAGGAGCTCATGCCACTTCCTGCACTTCCCCCTGACCTCCACAGGAGGGAGGCAAGAGCCCAGGCCTGGCAAAGTCTCCTGCTGAGCTGCTGAAGGGCTAGCTATTTGCTCAGCTGTCACATTCAGGTCTTGTCTTTACTGAACTGTCTACATAGCCTTACCTGGGGCGGGGGTGAGTGTTAGCTTTCTTGGGAGGTGGGGTTGTGTGTGTGGGGGGGTACCCCCTGTGAAGAACATCTTTCCTTTGCTTTTTAGTTAGCTTTTGGGTGCTCTCATTTATTCTTTTACAGCCTTAGTTTTGTCAATTTTATAGGGACAGTGTTTCTGAGAGACACCTGTTACTCATTTATCAAAAGTAAGAATCTCTTAAGAATAGAGGACCACAGAGAACGACAGTAAAGGGAACGGGGCACTGGAGGGCCTTAAACTTGAAGCGAAGGAAACTACCCTTTCTGTTTTCTGACACAAAGATAGTCTCTATTTCTGTTCAAAGGTGAGACCAGAACAGGCCTTTGCAGAATTATTATATGAATAAAAAGCATATAGAGAATTAGTGATTTTTAAATTTATGCAGAAAATAGACCAAAGATAACTAGCTGCTCTGATGAATATTGTTGATAGCTTAAAAAAATAACTTTTGAAGTTTTATAATGTACAGTGAAAAAAAAAACAGTCCCTTTTTCTTTCCTGTGTATTCACCTTTACCAGGGTATTGGCTTTCAGGTGGAAACAGGATGTCTGGTATAGCTGCAGTTGTCTTCCTTCTCCAGGGAAGGGAACTGCACATGAGAGACACTGCAAATGTTGTCAGTGTCAGCATTCCTTACCCTTCCTGAGACAGATTTGGAGAGTTAGGATGGGCTCTGGTTAGAAGAGGGTTAGTAGGGTTGGCAGAAGGGTCAGGAGGCAGGGGGTGGAACTGGACCATGGGGGTGGGCAAGGTGGGTAAAGGGGAGAAGAGTGTGTACTGGTCAGTAGGAGGATGGGTTGGGGAAGAAGAAGATCCAGTCTGGAGGTTGTGTGACAGAGAGCCTGTGCCCAAAGTTCCTAATGGAATGTCTGGGGCTTCTAGGGTCCCCGGTGAGGCTCCAGGAAAGAGTCCATGAGTTCCATTCAAAGGTCTGTGTGTCCTGTTCAGGTATCCAGTGATTTGGTCTGGGGACCTGGTGGTTTGATTCAGCAGAGCAGGAATCTTGGCTCTGAATCCCCGCAGCTTGCTCAGAAGTCCAGAGCCAGTAGTTCTGGCTGAGACACTGAAGTTCGCCTCCAACAATCCAGAAGTCCTGTTTGGGAGCTTGTTCAGTGTGAGGAATAGAGAAGTACTGCTTGGGACAGCTGTGG